GGTCAAAAAGGCAAATTCTAAGATTACCCATCAGTCCTTTTAAAACTTTGCAGCACTGCTACAGTGGACTAAATTGTGTCCCCGGTGAAGTATGCTTGATAACAGGACAAGGACACTGTGGTAGTGTCTCCACTTATCTGCCACTGCATCATCATCATCTGGAGATCATGTTACAGGCTGCACACACTCCTGCTCCGCAATCAGGCCGTTTCACCACATCCTCTGCATGCACCATTAGCCCCTCCTCACAAAGACACACCAACCACTTTGTTCTTCACATGCACACTCTCAAAAAACACTGTTGCAACTGTGCACCTTACTGCATCCAGAGGCATGTTTCATGCTTGCGGAGAAACATCCCCTACCCCTCACATTTAATGTAATATGAAAGTTGCACAGTCAGAAACCTGCCTCAGCTTAAACTGAAAACTACGCGTAAAAAAAAAACCCTACTTTCATCACTTAGACACATAATGACTTCCTGCATAACCATAAAAGTATCTCAGAGGAAAGCTGTTTGTTAGGGGCCTAAATGAAAAGCACAACACCACAGTAGTAATTATCAAAACTAAAAAAGAAGACTAAGAAAAAGAAAACCTCAACCAGATAGTAAAACAAACATATTCTTTCCTTGAGTTACAGTAGAAGGTAACGAGTTTTCTTGAAAAGCCACCGCGTTGCTCTTTCCAAAAGTACAGTGGTCTGTTTTTGGCTTCAGCCCTGTCCTATCTGAGTAACAGCACTCTCTGACAAAGAGAAGCCACTAGGGAACAAACACTATAAAGTGAGAGTGTGTAAAAGTGAGGCACAAAAAACCAGTGGGGAAGCTTCACAAACTTTGGAAATATGAGGTTTCTGGACTATACATGAACTCTGTGAAACACCACAAATGAATGTCCCACCTGCTGAGCTCACAGGCCAGGTCTATTTATCTCTGAACATTGATTAAGTGAACTGTAGGAACAGCCATGTCTAGAATTTGTTTTAAAGTGAAGGGAGTGAGGGAATTACAGTGCTGAACTGGAACTACAGTGACAATAACCCTCAAAAGGCCATTTTAAGAGGAGGGAGCGAAGATAACAGCTTACAGTTCTGAACTAATGTGACTTTAAGATTCCTGAGGTTGCACCTGGTCCAGCCCTTCCACTAATCACCCTGACTGACTGCTTAATGTGCCAGAGAAATAACCTTCTGCTCTCCTGAATACAGATTTATTGACAGGGTGGAAGGTCTACAGAAGGTGCTGGAAAGTAGTCCTCTGTGTGTTTTCAGTCAGTTATAATGACTTTTCACTCATCTTTAGGCAAAACAGCTCATATGTGGGTAGTTCACATTTTCGCATACTTGGCATCAATCATAATTTAGAAGCTTCAATGCATTCTGAGGTTCCCACACTTTATGAACGGAATAATGAGGACAATCAAAGTATAACAAATCCCAATACTGAGAACTATAAAAACAACAGCAAGGGAACATACGGTACAAAGTTAAATGTGATGTGAAATTATGCTTTTAGACATAAAAAGTGTAAAAAACAAACGTGTTTAAAACTACTGAAGTTTTTGTTAAATAAAGGAGCAATGCACATCCAATTCAGTTTTTTAAGTAAGCTACGACTTTTTAAGGAGTTTTAGACAGTTTAACTCACAATACAGTACTTACCAAGGTAAGAAGAGTGATTTAAGGCGACTTCTCCACCTGTTAAATCGCGTCGCTCCTCGTCAAAACAGTAAACACAGATCCAGCTGAGAGTAGCTCACCTCAGATTAGAAAAATGCTTCCAAAATGCGACCAAACAAAAGCAGAAAGCAGCTTTATAAATTTCCTCCGTGACTGTAGGAGCTCTGGAGCAGTGATGAGGTGCCTGTAGTCCCTTGTGTCTTTTGTTTCAGATGTTAAGGTTGTGGCACCCATGGACACTACCTGTAGCTGCGCGCGCAGTGCTATCACTGAGATGAGCCATGTGCTGTTACCAAAATAAAAGGTCTGACACAGGCAGCAGGACTGGGCGGGTCGCACCACAGAGAAGAGAGGAGGGTGCAGCACTGATAATTGAGCCATTTATCATGAAAACAGTGAGGCTGCGTTTAGTGTGTGCGCGCCATCTGCTGACCGCGCGAAGCAGAGCAGCACGTGCTCACAGCGGACGTCAGGTCAATTAGTTAATGACGTAGTTCACCTGTCTGTCCTACCAGCGTGTTAATTAAAGGTAATCTCTTTCACCTGGCGTCACTGGTTAAACATTATAATTGATGCCCTGCACATTCCCTGCATATTTTATACTTTTAAGCACAATGCTCCTACCTTACACACACAGCTGTCATTTTAAATTATGTAAATAGTGCACATTTCCAGAGTAACTTTTTGTAAACATTTGATCAGATTTATCCTTTTAATTTAAAAATGGTATAATAGTTTTTTTAAACGTTCTTGTAGTTCTATATTTGCTTCTTCTGTATAACTGAATCCCTCTTACTGTGTTTATTTATGAACCATGACAAAGCAAATTCCTTGCAAGCGGCAATAAACCTGATTCTGATTCTGATACTAGCTTGTATTAATTAACCCCCCCCCCTGCAATGTAACACTTCCATTTCTGCCACCTGTTTTATGTCTTGTCCTTATATGTTTATTTGTTAAGCGACCTTGGGTTGATGAAAGGCGCTATAGAGCCATTTCCTTAGTTTATATTATTTTATCTTTTTAGAGTACATAGCCTGAGATTCTGTGGTGTGTATTATGTATTATTTAATTTGAGTGCGTTACTCCTGCATGTCGAGGTGCTGCAGCCTACTGGTGTGGCTGACTGAAGCAAACAGTTTTTAGACCTTGCTGGTTGGGAGCGTCACACAGCTTGGTTCTTTATTGTGCCTTTAATATTGAAGTATCAGTTTATATGACAAATTTGTTTATTTATTTTTGCCTTTTTTGGAATAAACTATCTCACTTTTCAATCGCATCTGGACATTTCTATCTATTCAATTAAATTCAAAACCTTTATTTATCCAGGTAAAATCCCATTGAGATCAATGATCTCTTTTTCAAGGGAGACCTGCAGCAGTAGGTTCCACAAGAAGACATAACAACATAAACAACAGAACAACAAAAGGACATTGTAGAGGCTAAGCCAACGCTTTAAGCCTCTGAGGATCCGCTTGGTGGGTGTAATTGACGCACACCTTGTTTGCTGCCGAATACAAGTCAGAACCAACGTTTCCAGTTCGAAATAGTCCATTTATTTCCCTTTTTTACTGGTTTCTTTGTTTCATTCACCACACGATATTTATGGTTTACACAATACCTTGTGCTTTGTTTTTAATCCTGTGTTTGTGTGCGTGTTCTCCGTGTGTGCGTGCTCCTTGTGTGTGTGCTCCTTGTGAGTGTGTTCTCCGTGTGTGCTCTCCGTGTGTGGTCAAAAACTGTATGGGCCTTCCGGCGGAACCTCTCACCAACACACATAGGTTCCTACCTTTATACCCACATTTAATTGGCTCCTACAGACATCATACAGCAAAATGTACAGGGATTACAATTTACATATTTAACCACATGTACAGGTACCAACAGCATCTGATTTTGTAGCATCTTTATTTATAGAGTTATTATTATTATTATTATTATTATTATTATTTAATAAATCAGCTAAAATAAAAACTTTATTTCCAGTATTTCTGGTTTTTATTATTTCATTTGTAAATTTCATAAAGGTGTTCTGTGTTATAAATGTACAGAACAAGTAGATTATAAAATATGAGTCACTTAAAATCAAAATAAGAATTGGACGATAAAATAAATGTCAGACCAATGAGATTTATCAAATTCAATCAGACTTTCTTCATATTTCTTGTCTTGTCCAATTTAGTCTGCTGCTGTATAATTGTATGATTATTTAACTCTGTTATAATCCAATCTATTTCTATAGCACATATTAAAAACAGAGGGTTTACCGAACTGCTTCACAGCAAACATAACATTATAATAAAATATAATATTACAAAAATAGATAAAAGGCACATAAAGGCTTTGGACAGATAATAAAAGCATAACAATCGATAAAACAGCTCAAACTGACTCGAAAGCGAGGGAAAATAGGTGGGTCTTCCGGCGGGACTTAACATTTTGAAGGGTGGGCGTTGTAAAGGCATTAGCACTGAGGTCATAGCTATTGATGGTGATTTTCTGGACTCCATTGTATTTAGAGCTGATTCTTATATTATGTCCCCTTCTTGTCTAAATAGGGAGGTACAACGTTTCTTGTAGTCCAGTAGACCCCCTTTAATGACCTCAATAATAAACATAGACTAATATTTACACATTTCCAAACATCCAAAAACCAAAAATGCATATACCAAAAACGGAATATTATAAGCTCCGTAAACATAGAGGTTATATTCTTATACCAGGAATGTCGTAACTATACAAGATTTCAAAGATGTACCTAAAGGGGGTCACTTATCAATTTAAAGGTGGGGTATGTAATTCACTTCAGAAACACTTTTTGTTATATTCCATGGAATGCTCTTAACATCCTGATAGCAATGAATACATTAAATGCTTTGACAATAAATATATAAAACATATATATATATATTTTAATCTGTGGAAGCCGTGGCGCTGTAAAAAGCACGACCGATCATCTGAGCCGGCCTACCTGCCTGTCAGCCTTCCATCTGTGCACAAACTTGTGCGCGTTCGTGGGTGTTGGAGGAGGGGCTCTGTAAGGAAGTCTGTAAGGAAGTGGCAGATTTTTTCCGGCTGCATATTTTCAAATTCTAGCAAGCTGGTTTCTGCAAAATTACCTACCCTACCTTTAATGATTATGTTGATACTGTAAAAATCTGAATATGTTCATAATAAAATACAATCAGAACATGTTTTATGTATTGTATTTTGTGTGAATGTATTACCATTGTATTGTGTTTATGTCCATGTTATTTGATCGGTAAACATTTGCAAAATTCAGTACAAATACCTGTATGATAATGCTCCATACACAAGTGTTTGTTGAATCAACATTTATGAACAGACTTTACCAAAATCAACACATGAAAACGAGGTCTCTCAGTATCACTCTGTAATGTTTAATTGCTTTTAAAAAATTGCGTACCATACAAATGAGATACATTGTTTTATAAGCAAATATATATTATACTTTCAATTTGATAAAAGGTTACAGTCTGTACAATCATCTCCTGTGTCTATACTTAATATGATTCAATTTATACAGTGAAATCATGTATATATCATAGAAAAATGACCTCATAATAAGAATTTTTAATTAGCTTTCAAGGTCACACTTTTAAAAAGTTGCACTGTTAAAAACACGTGTGATTTTGGAAATACTGTGAGAATGTTAACCCTGAAAGCAGATACACATGATAAAAGCAGCAGTAGCAGAAATAAGGTGAGCAGGGAATTTTTAAATGGCGATTTAAAAAGAGAATTGCCATGAAATGTTACATTTGGCAGAGCTTTGCTTCAAATACATGTACATTAAAAGATAATTTACCATTAATATGGAAGTATTATCCAGACTTAGCTATAGGTTATGCAACAAGGCGGATCTTGTACAATTTATAGAAGTTTTACATTTCATCGTAAAGAAACTTCCTTTCCAGCACAGAACATGACCTCTCTTAACTTTCACATTTGGCATCACTCTCTATGGCTTGGGAGGGACATCCAAAAGAGCCACATTTCCCTCATTATTAACTTGCTTATTAAACCAATTCACACATTTATTATAACCACTCTTGCATAGCCTTGTATTAGGCTGTCTCTTGATATGTCCGAGCCATTACGTTACATTACGCAGATTTCTACAGATGTTCTTGTTGTTTCCTCAAACATGCCCAGGGTATTTTCAAAGATCTGAAAAACAATCTGAGGAAGTAATTGAATTAAACATTAATCCATTTAAAATCCTGAAAAATGTGCCTTATTAATTCATAAATGCTCAGCAGTGGTTTGTGATGGCACTGTGGTGACAGAAACTATGAGGATCTCAAAAGGAACAGTGCTGTTCACTGAGAAGGAATGCAAATGTCCTGCAGCTGCAAATAGTTGCGGAACAAAAAAGTCCATTCTTTGCATCTGAAACAGTATCATCAGCATTCATTCTTTCCTCTCAAGTATTGCGTGTGAAAACACTCCCAACGTCTCAGTACAACACACACACACACACACATGCACTCATGCAGGGAGGTGAGGTGAGAAACCACTCGTTGTCCCTGCCTTCACCTCTGTTCTGGGCAACAGAGGGAACATGCAGGTCGGACTTAACTGGGATTAGCAGGGTGGTGGGTGTAATGGAATGAAGAAAGGCTGGGGTGTCAGAGAAGGATCTGAGCTTTAGCGAGTGTTTGTTCGGGCTCGTATGAGTCCAGGTGGATGTGGGCAAGCAGGAATTGCAGAGGTCAAAGAGGTGCCACGTAATTCCCGGGAAAAGTCCCAAAAGCACGAGTCCGTTCTGACGTACCTACAGAGAGCAGAGCACACACTGTGGTCAAACAACGGTGACAAACAACTGTAAGCACATATACTAAAACAATTCACAATGCATAGTTCATTGTTGCGTTATCATCTGCAATGGTTCATTATGTCCACTAGAGGGAGAGCTAACACAGCTGTATGTTTTCATATCCTAATTGAACAGAAACACTAAGAATTCATGAAATTAAAACAATCTTAACAACATTTTATTATGTTTGACTTGTTTTATGAATGGCTTTAGACTTGAAATGTACTGTAACATCCTATTATTTTATTCTTTATCAAACAACTTTACTGACCTTAACTGATGCCATATCATGTAAAGTCTACAAGGTGGTAACAATTACGCCTAAATACATTTGCAAGAAACATAAAAATATAAAAGGCCCCCTGAATGATTGGATTTGTGTATGAAACATATATGAATCATGGCCTTCAAGTCACCTAATAGCAAAAAGCAACAACAATGGCGACACCTATCAGAGTGACTTCTTGTTAGCCAGTCCCTTCATCAGACTGATAAAACACTAAACAAGGGAATACATTTTAAAAGAATGATGTTTCATCCTTCAGGTAAAGGTGTTAAAACTATACTGAAGGCTCTCTCTCTATATATATATATAGCTTCAACATATACATCTAAATTGAGGTAATAGAAAACTGTGAAATTGTTGTGATTTTATTTGTATTAATCTCCTTTGTCCTTACCTACAAACCAGCCATCGTCACATTTCTCCATCACTTGCACCACGTCTCCTTCTCTGAGCTCCAGCTCATCTGAATTCTGTGGTTTGTAGTTGTAAACAGCTTTATGTCTACAATAGATACCATTGAAAAAAAAGACAAACAAATAGTTTGAGCCACAATTTCACCAAAGCTGCAACACTTTTGCAACCGTATAGACGAATAAAATATGATGACGTACGGGTGTCGTGGCACCGCTGTGGAATCAGGGTTGTTTGGCACTTGTGGCAGGGAGTTAACGTGTGACCGAGCCGTCTGGTTTGGTATCGCACCCTGCAAGAAATAGAAACATCATGTCAGGCATTATGAAATAAAGGAATGATTAACAACACCCCTTTCAACACAAACAGTGGTGTGGACATGCAGTGAGATTCTCAGGCAGGGCAGTGGAGCAGACCTGTGGGGGGTCAGTGTGTCTGGGAGTGTTGGCTGTGGTTACTCCTACTCTGTGGGAAACAGCAGATTGTGTCCCAGCCCAGTGGTTGTTGTTCAGGTTGGTGGGTGAAGCCGTTTTTGAGGGCCATCGATTGGCTGTTTCTTTGGATACGGGTGTCTGAGTGGGGGAGCGTGATTGTGAAGCTGGGCTGCTGTAAGGAACAGGTGAAGACGGATTCAGAGGGGAGTTCCCGGGTTTAGGGCTGAGGGACGAGGGGGTGAAAGGGGATAAGGGTGACCGCGGGCAGGGGGAGTGCAGCGGACGGCCTGGACTCTGGGGTCCGGGAGACATGGGGCCCCCCGCTGGGAAGTCTTCAGAAGACAATCTGGTGCGGGGCATCTTGTTGACCTGGACATAGTTGGACGGGAAGATGCCGCTCCGGTTGGTCCCTGAGATCCTCCCTTCTAACCACTTATCGTCAACGCGCCTGGTTACATTGATCACCTCGCCCTAAGGAAGAAACACAGAGACAAATATAATATCCACAGAAATGTAATATCAATATATTGCCTATTGATAGAAATCATTACATTTTTGTTTGGGAGTAACACGCAAACCTTGGTACTGCAAAACCCAAGTCATTTTTACACTTTTTCACAGTTTTTGTTCTAGTTAAAAAACAAAATATTACTTGTTGATTCGTGAATTTCCATGTACAGGGAGGAGGATTTTGTAAGAGAGCCAGGCCAGCTGTTTCCTCCTGTTTCCACACTTGATGCTAAGATAAGCTAACCAGCAGCTGGTAGCTTTTCCATTAAGCATACAGCCATTGGGAGTGGTAACAATATTCTCATCTAACTCGAATACAAATTTGAATGCATTTGATTGCTCATAACATTTCATGCAACAAACTGACTAGTGCTACAGATTATTTTGTTCCAATACATAATTCAACAGAAACATTTCCTCTCTGTTCCAGCAACACTTGATACTCACTTTCCGGAAAGAAAGTTCAACAGGTAGATCAGCGTTGAAGTTAAACAGAGCCACAGCTTCCCCGTAGTCCAACACCTGCAGAGTGGGAGACCTTATCGGTGTTGGCTTCTCCGTAGGAGCCAGAATCTATGGAGGACAAGGGAACCAGTTTTGAGAAAGTATCACATGGTTTGAGATAACCAGCACAAAGCAACAGTACAGATAGTTCAAATGAGACCCATAGAGAAATGTACCTCCACATAAGATGTGGGGAATATGCCCGCTCGTCCATGATGTTCTCCTTCAAACCAGTTGGCATCTACCTGCCGGTGGATGTAAACAATGTCGCCTTTCTGCAGCATGAGCTCTCTGATGAAAGGAAAAAGAATAAAGAGACACGCATAAGGAAAATAAATTAGATTAAAGAGTTAAAAGTTAAAATGTGCATTCAGAAGACACTATAGATTTGTATTTGAGTTTAAAATCTGAGATCCTTTTACACAATGTTTTCTTGAGAACAATATGTTGCAATATGTACAAGAAAGGAAATGTCTATTATATCCGCTCACACTGTAACTCACTTCGGTGACTGAGCTTGGAAACTGAACTTGGCTCGTGCTGCTTTCATCTGGAGAAACAAACAAATCATTCAGGATTCAAGATTTGTAGGTGCAGTGATTATGTGAACAATTTAGGATTGACAACATAATGCCACAACTTTGGTTATTCTTTTTAAGTATCAAGAAAGTCATAGAAACATACCTTTTTCTCCTCTTTCTTAGCCGGGAGCTCCATGGTTTCATTTGCAGGAGAAAGGCGATCTACTGTAGAGCAAAGTAAAAGGCACAGCGGTGTTTACGGAGTCTTAAATGGCACTCTTTTGTTCAGCAAATGTTGTTTTTGGATGTGCTGCTATGAAAAGCCCTAATAGCTCCATAGGTTTAAAACAAGGATCCTGGAAACTGTTCAGGCTGGCCCCATCTGGACTCATTTCCAGAAAAAAACAATTGTTTAAAGCTAATCTTAAATCAGGTCTTCCGAGTTCCACTTCCTATTTTCGCGGGCTTCCTCCCCGCCCATCTACACCTTCGGTTTCTAAAGGAAAAAACTGCAAAAGCTTTTCTGTGCACACATCAGCCTCATCTGAAAAGCCAAACACCAGAGCAGAAGACAACAGTGGCAATTAAAGAGAATCATGGGACCTACAAAATATATTAGATTACGAAAACCCTACATCAAACGTATGCCTGATTAAATAAGCAGCCTGCACACGGGTGGGTTCAAGTGAGATCAACGAAGAGGAAAAACAGAAGATGATCAACTTATGGACAGTTTAAAGAAAGTTGGTGGGAAAATCATAGTGTGCATTTGTGTGTTGAGCCCAAAAGAGAATCCATGTTTACCATGTGTGGGGGAAGAGGTCAATGATGAGCCAACAGAGCGATGGACAGGCTGCTTCGCTGCTGATGAATTGCTGGAAAAAAAGAAGAAAGTATAACCTTTATGTTTGTTTTACTGCCAATGTGTCTCCCAATCAGGGGGGAGGTTGTCTAATAACATCAAAGTACATTCAAATGGAAATAGCCTAATTTTACAGGGAGAATGTGTGTGTGTGTGTGTGTGTGTGTGTGTGTGTGTGTGTGTGTGTGTGTGTGTGTGTGTGTGTGTGTGTGTGTGTGTGTGTGTGTGTGTGTGTGTGTGTGTGTCAGAATTACTGTACAACACATCTGGCTGCAGCTGCTAGATTTCATACACTGGACAGAGATGAGACAAATAATCAGACAGCTAGAAGGCCAAGCAGACGACACTATGTGCCTCAATCTGTTTAAGATTAAGTTTGGGGTTTAAATCACATTTACAGCCCCCACAACTGCATTCATGATCAGAATGATGTGTCTTTTGTTTCTAGGTTAACAATTAAATCCATAACCCAAAGCTTCCTGCCTGTCTGCCTCTGAATGCATTTACATATTTCTAGACAGTACTGTTTTGTATTCCAGTATTTGCAGCTGGGCACCATGAGCTACATAGCATGTCCTTAGCAACTGGGTGTTGGACAAAAAAAAACCTTATCCAACCAAACCAGGAAAGGTCAGAACCCATGAACTCAACTTAGCAAACAAGAGCGAGAATCCTCCAGGAGAGCATTACGCACATGGAGAGAAATGTGGAATGCAGCCTGCTGTTTGAAGTAACAAATACTGTACGTGAACTTGTTAACATTCAACAGCTTCCTAACAGAATCCAGGACAGAGATTCACCTGATCAACTAACTGGACAGGTACAAAGAATAAATGGTTGTGCTAACTGCAGGTATTTGTTTCTTAAAACGGCAGGAAGCAACGGGAAGTTACTCCCACTCAGGGAAACAATGTCAAAGTGCATTAAGAGGGTGTTGGGCTCAGAGGAGGTCTGTTGGTCAGTGATTGACTAAGGCCTTAACATTGACCTGTCTTGCATGTGCGTCTATTATGATATGCAACATCACTTTAAAACCTACTATACCATCATTATTTACATTTAGCTATCACTAAAACTGTGTGCAATCGATCAAGTGAGATTACAAAAGTCTAAAATCCACTTGTTTGTGAGGAATTTGCATAACAGAAACAGAAAAATACAGGAATGCCATGGCTTTGTACAAAACTAAGTAAAGGTACAACTATGCCAACAAACACTGAAAGCCCTGAATCTAATTTGAACAGTATAATGGTGTGTGTAAGAACAACTCTACACTTTGGTGTATAGAAATGAAACTGACAACTGATAACTAGTGAAAAATGATACTAATGTGCATTAAAAAACTCCTTTATTTAGTCTTGAAATGAAACCTTTTGTGGAAAATGCCCTTTTAAATGATACAAATGTCAGTTTACATGCGATTTTACCTTTCTGAATGTCTCTTTAAGTAATCATATGTATGTTGTTTTCTTAAGTTATGTTGTCACTGACCTGTAGTTTGGAGTCCCAGTCTTTGGTTCAGTTACCAGCTCTTTGCCTCTGGCCTCCTGAAAGCAGAGTGAACATTAAGTTAACTTTGTTCCCTTGCAGCCCGCTGTGTCTCACAGCTCAGAGGAAATCTCACAACAACTCAGACAAAGTAGAGGTGCTGACCACTCCCAAAGGAGCAAGAAATCCCCTGGGTCCTATCCTCCACAGCCTAAAAAACATCACCATTCATGATCTGTCTGAGCTGCCAGTGATTTCAATCAAATCGCAGCCTATAAAGCAAATGTAATCACACAAGAATCAGGAACAGCTTGAAAATCAAAAAACATTCTTGACAGGGTTGCATCCAGATCACTCTCTAAAACAAGCATTGCGGGAAGAATGTAAAGGTAATTGATTGCAAAATGTCTTCATTTTTTTGGCAGCCAAATTTGCAGGCAGGTGATTAACACAGCACATCAGTCCAACAGCAAGACAGGCAGGTGATTCCAGGGCGGTCATCCAGGAGGAGGAACAACACACAGGGCTAGCAAGCTAGAAAGCAGGGAGGGACGCTGAGTCTCGCAGCCTTAATTGGGGGGGGGGGGGGTGAGGGTAGGTGAGGATTCTGCTAGATTTGGAGGGAGGGATGCTTCTGCAGAGAGAGTCAGGAGGGGGGCTCAGTACCTCACCCCGGCCTCGACGCTGCTTCTTCTGGGAAAGTCTCCTCTCCAGGCCCTGGATCTCCGAGTCCAGCTCAGCCTCAAAGCGGCTCAGCTCGGAGACCAGGCTGGCCTGAGCCACGCAGCCACGGAGTTGGAATGGCAACATTAAAATACAGAATACTAAAACAACATGGAGCTAATGGTGTCCCTTTTTGTGGTGGTACAAAGATAGAAAGTGAATGCAGGAATTAAAATGTTGTCAAAGAAGCTCACCTCAACTGAAGGGGGATTCGGTGTCTCCGGTTGTTTCTTCTGGGATGTATGAACCTAACGAAAGCAGAAAGCGACATTAAACAGAAGTTATTCTTTCATCCAAAAAAATGTGGGTAAAATCTAGCTTTAGGACGTTGCTGCGGGTCCATGTTCATGAATTATGTTGCGTTTCATCAAATTGCTTTTATGTACTTTACATAGAAAACCTGGAGTCAGGTTATATTATTCCAGAAAGGAGTATTGGTTTGATTTGGGAACAATGTAACTGCAATGAACAGTAGGATGGCTCTCAATAGGGAGCCACAACACATGTTTGTCCTGGAGCCCACTATGAATTGTATCCAGCCATGTGAAAACCCTTTCACTACTATTCTGACAATGTGTTTTGGATTCAAGAAAGGATTTGGAACTGAGCGGTCTTTCCCATAAAAGAGTTTGCCCAAAGAGAAAATCAGCACATCTCTTTTAGTGGAAGAATTCAAGACAACTAGACTGTAATCTGGACAATGCAGTAGCTGGATTAAACTCTTGAATATCGTATAAGAGGTAAAATGCTCAAATATCCCGCTCTCAATCTGTCTTTACAAAGAGAACAGCTGATTCTATCAAACATTACTTTAAAAGGCTCTGTTGGAGAGAACTAGGAACCCCTTGCTCCATTTCCAGGTCTTTTTTTGTGAAAACCTTGGCTGAAGGTGTCCATGTGAATGCCAAGGCCTTCCCCTCAGCTGGGAGCCGTCCTCACTACATGCACAGACTGTAATGTCAGTGTGAAGCAGCTCAACACCTGATATGGTCTGAGCACTGGTTTGCTAAACGCCGTCCAGGGGATCGAACATAGGCCGCTGTCATAAAGAGGAAATGAAATAAGTCTCCATGCTGTGAGGCATTATACACCACAAGAGGTTAACACCATAATGCGGATCACAAGACACCTCCGCTCCCATGGAGGAGTGGAAACAAAGATTCCTTTTCTTTTACAAGCGCGGCCACTGGGCACAATATGCACCAGATCTGGGACATTGTTGCAAGAGCCATTAAAAAAAAAACTACCATAGAGACACCGCTCTGTAACTCACCAGGGGTTTTTAAACACGGTGACAAATAGAAACGGCTGCACACTCAATTACAAAAGCTCTTGGACACTGGAGAATACACAAGACAATAAATTACAACCCCAGGGGTAAATAAATATCAGTCAAAGTGTCAGCTTCAGCAGCTCTTAGATCACTGACTTTCAGCACAATACCTGATAGGAACACAGACATAAACACTTAGATCATGGCTTTTCTTGTCTGGAAAGCTACATGAATACATGTTTAATCCTCAGAATCAAAGAAAGTGAGAACATCTGGTTGAAAGGGGCAGTAACGCTGTGAAATGACCACATTCACAAGTTCCCTCGCGTGAGAAGATGAAATATGAGGACTAATCCTTAAAGAAAAGGTGCCCATCCTGAAACCTGTTCCTGATCCTCCCCACTGGGAAATCAGCTAAGACTAAACAAATAATTCAAAACCATTAGAGCCAACAACAATGCTAGATACATTTATCCATCCATCTATGTAATGGAGTTTTCTGCTAGATTCATATCAGAGCCTATTTTTAAACGAAAGCATGTGAGGTTGTTACCTGGTTTTGGCTTTCCGAGTTGCTGCTCTTTCCAGGCTCGAAGTCAAATATGCTCCTCGGTTTAGCGGGCTGCTTTCCCGGGTCTGACAGTTTATCTACATCCTCGCTCCTGAAACATAATACCCCAACACACACACACACACACACACACACACACACACACACACACACACACACACACACACACACACACACACACACACACACACACACACACACACAAGTAAATCCCGGCTTCATTGTGAATGCCTGTAAAAACAAATCCCAACATGTCTGTCCCACACGTTTTCCCTCCACTGCTATTGGTCTGAGTTTGGGTTGGTATTCATAAGACTTTATCTGATGTGAGGAATGCATTCATTTTGATGTGTAATCTAATGCATATTTGAAAAGAATTCAAAAACAGCAACACAAAAAGCATACTGTTAAATATCCTCTACTTCAGTAGGTAAATATGCACATTTTCTAAATTCTTGTATAACAGCGTGCGTGCAAAATAACTTTGGTGTTATCTCCAGAATTAGGTTTAACCCTATAGCATATGTTTGTTTTTTTCAACCCAAGCTGTATTAGTCTGAGGTCTGAACAAAGGTACATTGCTAACCTTCAGTAAGAGCTTTAAGAAGTACTTTGACATATTGGTTAATATGCTTAGTCACTCTTGAGAGTTAAATGAAAATATAGATACCACTCTAAGTGTAGACTCCATTAGTGTAGCCTGGTAAATATGAAACTAGCAGAGAGACAGTTATGCTAGCCTGTCTGAACAAGCACCAACTAGAAACCCTTATACACACAAATCAAAATGTTATATATCTAATTAGTTTAATTTATTTCGTCACAGAAAGGCTCCCAGAGGATACTCCAAGAAATAACTGCACAAAGGTAGACTAGCTGTTCCTTCATGGTTTCAGTCTTTGTGCTAAGCTAGGCTAATATAGCTGCTGGCAGTAACTGTATTTAGACAAAGTTAGAAAGAGTAAAGCAGGGGTGTCAAACTAAATTTCATCGCGGGCCACATTCGCATAAAGGTTGCACTCAAAGGGCCGGTTGTAACTGTATAAATATATAATATATATATGAAAATAATGTATTATATTACATTATTGCCTCTAAATTGGATTATTATCGGATAGGATAATAACTTAGTAATTAACTACATCTGAAAGCAGAAGTCCAGGGCAAATAATTGCAAATCTCTTCAGTGCACATGTCACAAAACGAGATGCATCGTGGGACATGTAGTTTATGGGCAACCCGCTTCTGTAAAGTGGCATGTAACCATATAATGAATGTATTATATTCTTTGTAAGCTCTTGCGGGGCCACATAAAATGAAGTCGCGGGCCGGATTTGGCCCCCGGGCCTTGAGTTTGAGACCCCTGGAGTAAAGAGTGGTATCAATCTTCTGATCCATCTATCTCTCTGTTTGAAAGCATCTCAGGTTTACTTTAATTAAATAAACGTTATTAAATTGCCCACAGGTGTTAAAGTGAGAGGTTGTTAATTTGTCTTAAATATGCCATATGACAACACACACTGGCAGCTTGCCTGTTTTCTCTCCAGTGCATGCTGGGATATGCTAAACTAGCTATCCTCAGCGGCAGCTGACAGTGGCATAACACATCATTTAGATTAAATGTTTTAACCATCTTAAGTGGACTTCAAACGTTTCAGAACCCCTGCAATATCCCCCCTGTGACCCTGAAGCAGTCACATCAAACCAGTATAAACTCACCAGTCTGGTAGGGCTCCATAAGGTGTTAGCCTGAAGAGATTCTTGTCTGCTTCATTACTTTCTTCTGTGGTGTTGGCAGATAACTGGATTCCTGCAGATCATGTGATCAGAGAAGATCAGTCTTAAGTAAGAAACAAGTGGTTATGTAACTTTGCAGGATAACAATGTGGACTTTGGTTGATTCACTTACGTTCAGATGACCATCGGTCTGAATCTTCCATCTCAGGTTCTAAAAGTACAACAGAGAGACTTTTTTTAGACTCAAACACTGAAGTAGGCTACTTTGTAAGAAAAATCATCAATACATGTCATTCTTTTCCAATTACTCACATGCAATACCAATTGATTTGTCTTATAGTAAGACCTACATTTTAAACCACTGTGTAGTATATTAGATATTGTGAAAAGTGGTATATTGTGATGTTAGTGAAAGTATTATGAATACAAATACAGTAATTTAAGCAAAATGTACTTAGTTACAAAGTTAAAGTAGGTTACTGATTATGCATAATGACGCCTTTCAAAGTGTTGTATAATATCAATATTACATGATTAGATATTTTACTGGTGTATTATTGTTTAAGCAGCTTTTTAATCTTGAATCTACTGTCTGATTCCCCCATGATTAAAAGTTGATCATATTTGTTGTAGGCCTTCATAAAAAACTAAAATAGCTGTGAAATGAATGTCTTTGCTCTACCAGACATCATAGGTAGCACCTCAGTGAGATGCAGTAGCCCTCATTTGGAATCCAAAAGTGTGTCCAAAACAGAAATCACTTGCAAAGAGCTTAACATTTTCTGCTGAAACAAAACTAATCCAGAGTGGCTCAAACCACCTCAGTGCTGCATGCTATGTGGTGCCATTAACCACACAAATAGCAGGGAATGTGTCTCTATTACGCAACACATTATAGAGACAAATGAACAGCCTGGGGTTTAGATAAGTGACTGGATTATTATCACAACCAAAACACAGAGATGACATAAGACTTTTGTGCTCTTTGATCATGTCTTATTTTGCCTCTCCAATAATCTGCTTGTCTGCTGGATCCCCTCCATAATACCTGACACTGACAGAGAGGAATTCACTGTGGTGTTGTGTTTGAGTAGAGAGGAGGAGGAGCGTCCTTACCCTCTGGCTTCTTGTGAATCTGTCTGAACATGCTCTTGTACCAGTCTCTGGGCTTGTTCACACTCTGGTTTGAGAATAAAAGGTAGAGTGCAGAAGGTAAACACATCTGGGGAATTAGAGCTAGAGAAAAACAGCAACAATGGATGAAGCAAGAACATAAACCTGTCAAATCAACATAAATGTACAGTTTTTCTAGATGCAGTTTGTTGAGAATGTAGGCAGAAAAATAATAAAAGTATTAGAACACATATTTGATAACCAAACAGTACATTATGTATTTTGTTCTTACTGATCTGGAGGCAATGGGCATCCCAGTTTCATCTACTGGACCAATTCCTGAGAACTTGATAAGCCTCTCCTCTCTGGTGGGAGTCCTGCTGCGTGGTAAAGTGGTGTGGCCTTGGACGCCATTGGACAGTCCATCTGAATCATATTGCAAAACCACATTTAGATAAGTATATTTGTTCCCTTTATTATACATTTCAGATGAATGTAGGTGTGTTATGCAGCCACGAGTCTACTTTCAAACTCTTACACATCACACAAAAGCAGTCCACATTATTGCGTACCTCTTACACTTCCTTTGAAACTTTAACTGCATGTTGTTTACTCTTTGACAGTTTTAATCTCTTACTCTGCAAGTTTCTTAAGTGGTTACTTGTAAACTGATATTTTTAAATACACCTCTTCCTTTTAACCCCTTTACTCTTTTAAATGAATACGCTGTGACTGACCGTCAAATCCATTCAGGCCTCAGGTCACCACCACAAAAAATTGGCTAAGCTTTCATAGTTTATACACAATTTACTTCTGGGGCTTACACATGAGCTGTTTCTTCCACACTTTACCTAAATCCATTTCAGGACAACAAACCAAATGACACTTAAATATTAAACTCCTTTCCCTGTTCTTCTACTCGACAATCTTCTACTCCTCACATCATTTAATTTCCCTGCTTTGACACTTCTTCAACACCTATACATTTCATTAAGATTATGCATTCAAATCGAAATGTCTTGCTCTTTCCACACTTACATTTTCAAGAGCTATTAGAATAACAATTTCTTCAAACATTGTATCAAAAGTTAAGGTTTCCAGCCTCATGTTTACATGAAGAAATCATTAAATTCTAGTTAAAGTCTTAACACATTTAAAATGTAAAATAAAAATGCATTTCCTTAGCGCTTTAATTAACTTTTGTTATTCACAGATTATAAAAACTGTACCTTACCTTGCCCTTGGTTTGGACCATAATAAGATCCAAAGCTGAGATTTGTTAGTCCATTTCCATTCACTTCTGACACCTTGAGATGAGCAGAATTAAAGACATTTAATAATGGTTTCCAAACATATCCATGGCTGTCATGCATCAGTTCTCCACAGGGAGGAGCACTTGTTTACTGAATTCCAACCTCTAACCATTGTTACTAAACACAGCCTCCAGGAAACTTGTGTGCATACCTTAAACTCCCCAGATGACAACCCCATAGAGCGGAAAGGGCTCAGAGGAGGCGTGGGGAGCCCAGGGGAGATGACCACCACCTCATGGGTCATCACTGGAGAAGTCAGGATCTGCTGGCCTGAGGAAACGCCATCATCCCCGGAGAAGATGACCCGGGAGCCGTTTGGATCACCGACCACCTCCACACGTTGCTAAACATAGAGGAAATGAGAAATATGGATGAACAAAAACAATGTGTGAACTCTGCTCCTGTCATGTGCTCCTGTCGGCCGGGTAAACACCACTCTCTACGGGAGGTCATGTGAACTTGTTAGCGTCCCAGCTATTCTCCAGAGAAAAACTGGCCTCAGCGGGGGACCCGCTGATGAAAAGGCCCCTAATTTATTTAAAGCAGGACCAGTGGGAAGTGGTGTTCCACCAACTTCATCATCTCTCTAGCCACAACTGCAGAAAGGCCTCATTCAAGGTGCAGAGTGGGGGCACTGAAACAGGAGAGGACCATTATGAGCCCATTAACTCCCTATTCAGCAGGCCAGGGGGCAGGGAGGTTGGTAAGGGGGCCGCCGATGTCAACCTCAAAGTCCCGCCGTGCTAGCAGCGGTCTCCATAGTGATCTTTTTACTCCCCCCGTCCATGATGGGTAGTCTAGCTCTCCTATTGTCACGGTATGTATTTGAATCAGGTGCCGTGGTCCTCCCAGGGGTCATGGGAAAGCCTCTGAGCCTCGTGGAGAACTGCTATCTGCATTAAAGGCATGTTGTGTTGACCCTGGGCTAACCTTTGTGACACTCATGAGTGGCTCTCCTGGATTTTGAGGGGTTAAATGTGCCTATTCAAGACAATGGAATGTGTTTAATTGATATGGGATGTGTAATATGCGATAATGGGAAAGTCAACATTTAGAGTAATTAAAGAGTATTACCTGAGACTGCATGTGATCAGTTTTGGTCCTTGTGTGACAGAGATGAAATGCTTGTGCCCAGCATCAAAATAATCTGCAAAGACATGAGAAAATACACACTATTTATTTATGAACTTGCACTTTTTTCTTTTCAATTGTACAAAGTTTCTAGAAGAGTTGCAATAATCATCATGAAAATAAACTGTGTTTTATAAAAAGGGAAATGTACAGGCCCTTTAAGATAAGAGTATTGTCCGAACATGATGATAAGGTTTTTGTTTTTAATTTTCTTTGTGGCAGATTTTACATTTAATTAGATTCAAACACAAAAGTAATCTGTTTTGAATCTTGTAACAATCAGTCACCACATTTTCAAATGTTTCTCTATCCTGATGTTTCATGGAAATGCACACGTCATATTATCACACAGTCTTAAAGAGGAGAGCACAGACATAAATACAGTTTTATGTGAAGCTCTTTGTGTAATTGTGTGTAGATAAGGGCATTGTTGAATGAGAGTTGTAGATTGGTTACATTGTCTTTGCAGATTTCCAATGTATATCTTACATATTTATTCTGAATCTTTCAGCATGCCCTTTTTTAACCCTTTGAGTCATTATTGTGTGGGTTTCCACAAAGCCTCTCAGTCATAAATCACATGTTGTATCCAGACACAACTGTTCCATTATCCCAGCCCACCAGTATTCAGAAGACGGAAAGTTGGCGTCACTTTCCCCTGGTACTAAGGAAAAACCCACCCAAAAAACGAGTGTGACTCACAAGCCTGCTTCACTTTCCCACTCAATGCCATAATAAGCTGGACTGAATGATGGAGAGGGTCTGCTACTGAAGGCGAAGCTCCTAATCAATTGCACCCCAGAAAACAGATTAGGGGCTGCTGTTTCAACTTCAAAGGCACGGGGAGGATGAGGGGGAGGCCATTTCCGCTCCTGTGTGCGGCAGGCACCTCTCATCTACAGTGGCTAAATGGCCAATAATAACTTTGCAGGCATAGAAACCACAAACGCCATTCAGCCCCTGTAACCCTGCACTGTAAAACCAAGGTTAAGTGGTTAAGTCTTTGTGCACTGTGTGGATATAATGTATCTTATCTTGGGAGAAAAACAACAGATTGTAATGAAACAGTATGGTGCAAGCTATGGTTATGCAGCTTGGCAAGAAGTGAATTATCAAGTGTGGCTACTAGTACTACATGCTGAGAGCTGCCCAACCCAATTTGCACTAATGAGTTCTCCATGTGGCATTTGCAACTGTGCATTAGGGTCTATAATTATTGTGGCCAATTCCAAGAAGCCTATATTAACTGTGTCTCTGTGCACAGGGTTAGGACACAGCACAGAGAGCATGCACTGGTAGAATCAATCCTCCTCTTTCCAGACAACGATGTCACTCCATGTGAGTCATCATCTCCTAATAAACTGCCTTACATAACAGGAGAAATATGGGGACCGGAGGATTGTGCCTGCTACAATACCATTACTGCTCAGGCTTGACAGATTACCTATCATCGCCCACAGCAATCACAGCCTGCTGATTATCCGTCTGACAATAGACTACATTGCAAATAAGCCACATTAACAAATGATGGCTTAATGTAATCTCATTTCCAATGTGTATTACCTGCTGGTTCTTATAAGTCCGGATATCTCCTCAGGAGGTTGTTATTCACTTAAAAGGCCCCATCGCATTAATGAACAAAAACCTAGACGAGGAACTATTTGACTTCTTTTTATGAGTATGTCTCCACACAGGCCTCTTTAAAACAGGAATTCTTAAAAGCAAACAAAGGAGTTCCTTCTTTTTAAATATAGCAGCTTTTTTCATACCCATTCATTTCAAACTAGGATTGGTAACTCGAAAACATATGAAAAATGATATTAATAAAATGTATATTCAAAAAGGTGCAATCCAACAAATAATGGGACTTTTATAACATGTAGGGAATGGGATGTTCTGACTTTGAGTCCCTATTAATGTGTCCAATACTAAAATGCAACCTAATAGCTTACTTTCTCAATTCCTATATTTTCTGCCTTCTGTTAACCATTTCAAGTTTCAGGAACAAGCCAAGATAAAAGGCATGACTGACCCTTTTTTTACTTTTACTTTAAAAAGCTCTCTCCAGAAGCAATAGAAGACAATTGACTATTGTTCTCTGAGGCCAAATATTCCTACTGGGTATTAATTCAATAAGTGTAAAATTGAGGAAATTCCCTTTTGATACGCACTGCAATGTATTACATTTATTGAAAGGAATGCCTGCAGTGAAAGCAACTCTGTGACACCAAAAATCTGACAACTGCTGAAACCCCTGTTTTTTATTTCCAAGAGGGACTGAGTTGATCGTGTGTGTTATGTAAAGAACAACTGATGTGAGTCTTAATATTTTTCTAGAGTCATGGAGCACTCTTTGTTTGTCCTTTAAACTGATTTTTTAAACATTGACATGGAACTCCCTCCACTCAGCAGCCAGAAATGTATCACCGATGCCGCATCCTGATGTAAACTCATGTCATAACATTGCTCTATGTCTCAGTGGTGCATGCATTCCCCCTTCAAGAGCACCAAACAGGATCCTACCTAATAAGGACAAATCAGTGATGATATCTAGCAAGAAAATCCCTGTCCAGAAGTCTGGCTCTCCCTGGGGTGGCTCCGGACGCCCAGTGCATTTTTACGTAATTACCGAGACTCAACAGCGGAGGTTGCTAAGCTTTCGCATGGAGACAGGGCTCAGAAACTGTGTGAGAGTGTTGTTGATGCTATCTGTTTGAAATGTATGAACTTTATAGCCCGACGTATTAGCTAAACCCCTGCTAGGTGAGAGGTTCATTATCACCACAGGATCAGTTTAGGATGGAAGGAGCCATAAAAGGCCTCAGCAGAGGATGAGATGATGCCTGCGTTTTATATTTCCATCTTACTGCAGTGATTCTGATGCTGCATTCTAGCCATGTTTGAATCTCAAAGGCTTTGTTGTCATATGTACAGTAGCTACAGGTAGTTATGGCAATGAAAACCTTAAGTCCCAGGCTCCTCCAACAATGAAACATAAGACCTAAAACAATAAAACAAATTTTAAAAAACAATAAATTAGTGCAAGTAGAAACAGAGAATAATAAAAGTAAGTAATGGAGATGAAGTCAACTAAATACATGTCAGAGAAAATACAATAAGCTAAATGTTGCAGGGAATGTTGTAAGTGAACAAGTAAATGGTCCCTAAAGTAAAGTTAGTCCCTCACAGGGTAACTGAGGACATCCAAAGAGAGAATCAGGGGATCTAAGTATGAAAATATCTGCATCTGTCCCCAGGGTAACACATCCGGTCTCGAAAGAAGCACAGGGCCGGATGTCAAGCTGATTCAAGAAACAGAATTCTAACAGCTCCGTCATGAAATCCAAAAATTGTGTTGTGATAAACTTGAAAAAAAAGGAAAAAAGTTTAGTTAGTGAAGCACAAGGTTTTTTTTGTATCCTTTTCTGACCCAAAGGAGCGGATGAGGAACCAGACTATTATCTGAAGTTGCTGAGCCAGAGCAGCCCTACTCAGCAGCTAAAAGGTCAGTGAACTTCACCACACCCCTGTGATTCCTCTGAATCACAAAGGGAGGTTTCCATGGACCGGAATAGCAACAACCTGTATGCAATGGAAACAGCAAATTTGCAAACCTTCAAAATGTGAGAAAAGACAAAACCATTCACTCTACGGTGATAGCAAATGAGCTAGCTATGAGGTCACTATTTCTCAACTCTCATTACTCATCAAAAGTCTGTTTTTCCTTCCTTAGGATGATGTGACTGGGTCTTACTGAGAAGCCCCTGACCTACGATGACCTCATTCTCCTCCACATGCAGAGCTCCTCGCATTGTTCTCTCTAAGAACAGGGCTGCCAAGGTGACCACACACACCCTCATGAAAACCTGACACACTGTTGACCCTTTTGTGATTTGTTGGTGGACTATTAGTAAAGTAGTGATTTGCGGTCATAGGGAGAATCATGATGTCCATACATCATCAGTGCCCTCGGAGAATGTGTCAGTAATGAGCTGGGACAATGACAGAGAGTCCTGAGACTTAAATAAACCAAATAAAACTGTCACATCTCCATTTATCAGCACAAGTGTTGTTCTCTGCTTCCGTGTGCAGGGTGAGGAGAAGTGCTGAGTTAATGATTGACTTTATAAGGTGGGAACTACTGCAGAAGAACGGATCTAAGTCCTGCTGACACAAATTAAGGACACGGGCCAAAATACAAGCTCAATATTTGCATAAGGTGGTCATGTTGTTTGGGAGAGCACTGACCTGCATTGCATTTGACATTAAACACTTGTCTACAATCTTCAAAAAGCATATACACAGTCTGATCTTCTGATAAAGTGTGTATTTCCTGATTGAACAACACGACAGACTGAAGGGTAAAGTCTTTTTAAGCATTTGCACAGACAAATTATCACCGTAGCCTTAAAAGTTGCGTAACAGGGTCATAAAACACGGATAAATCCTGCCTTAATAAGTGGTAAGAAGGTAATCACGAGCACATTTGCTGAATAAATACAGGGGGTATTTATTTCTAAACACATTAAATGAGTCACTCTGTAGTTATGTGAGAGACGTTAGAGGTCCTGTGAGGTTTGATCACGCAACCATGCTGCCCTGCGAGCGAAGCAGATGTGCGGCCCATACAAGGTTCTGGAGCTGCTAGTTTATGATTTGCAGTTATTGGGGGGATACACACATTTATCAGTAGGGAAGTATGTCACCTCCTTGTATGGTGCTCCTCCAGTCAGAGCAACAGGAGGAGTCAGTGTTTCTTGTCAATGGAGAGGCAATGTGTTCCCAGGAGGAGAATAAATCAAAGCCTCTCTCTGGGAGAATAACCCAACGCTGAGCTGAAGTTTATCAAACCTGTCTTTACAACAAACACACTTCTAATCATCCAGGATCAGTCCTTATTAGGGTGGATCTGTTAGAGTAAAACCATAATGCAATGTGTCAGACAGAGCATGAGAAAATACAAACTCAAATCACTCAAAATCTCACAAATCCTCATGCCTGTCATTTTGCATCTTCAAAGCTGAGTGCAGCCTGTGGATATGAGGTCTGGCAGCTGGACTCTCAGTAATATTACAAAGGGAATCAGAGCCGGCTGTGGAAATCACCCTGACAGTAAGGGGAGCCACCAGTGATGACTGGATGGTCCTGATTTCAGGCCATTAGCGTTGAAATCTGCAGCAGGATGGGAAAATAAAGTCAGACTCTCTGCAGGCAGGTGCGCGCAGGGATCACATGTTAGGTAACAAGGTGCCCTCAGTGCCCTCTCTCACTATGTAACTCACACAAGATCTTGCCTCCACAGATTTCAACATCAAAACATGGGTCAACTTGTTTTCAGGTGCACGGCAGAATCAGACAATGTACTTGTGGGCAGGTCTGCAGCACTAATCCTGTGGAGCAGCCCTGAGCCGTCAGACAGGTTACCCAACATTTATTCAGAAAAAAAAACACAAGCCAAACACAAATTAGTTTCTACAGTGTCAATGTTTAAGATCAGTCCCTAATATTTAAACATACCAAGTGTACTCACCTTAAAGTGGCTCCAACAAATGAACTCACACCTCTTTCTGTCAGTGTTGCTCGTAACCCACGCTGCTCTCTAACTGAGACTCTCCAGGACACACAATCTCTCCCTTTCTCTCTCTCTTACTCTCCGCCCTGCCTTCCTCCGTGCAGGACTTCCCGGTTGACAAGCATTGCCATAGCAACCCACTTTCGGCCCTCGTTGAAAAAGCACCCTCTGCTCTTGCCTTGTCAGCTCGGGGGTGAAGCAGCCCTATTGTTGTGATGAGGTGATATTTCACAGGGTTAACCAAAGGGGAATGCAAATAGTTAATCACCTCCACCGCCCAGACACCGCCCAGACACTGCCCAATGACTCCATGACACCCCCTCATGACTTAATTTCTCCTCCTTTTTGCTTTTGTGTGTGGGTGTTTATGTGAAGGCTACAAGTAGAGAATAGGAGCTCTTTCTGTTCCAGTAGCTCTGAAAGTGTTTCAGAGTCATAACTCCAGACCACATAGTACACCGCTGAGTCCTGCTGACTTTCTCACACAAACACAAGCAATGCTGTTAAAGGAATTATAGCAGAGACTGAAGGATGTTCAAACTATTCAAATCAGGAGTAGCAGTACTGTATCTGCACAGATATGTCAGTCAGCATTCAAATTCCAGCAGCATGCCAAAAGCAGTCAAAGAGAGATGGAGCTCATGTCTCTAATCCTCCTCTTGCAAATAATACTTGCCCAAATAAAACCAGGATTTCAAGTTAGCCTGCATTGCTGGCCAATACAGACCTGAAATCTAAAGTGCTGACAGGCTTGTTTTGTTGCTGAATCACCAGCAGGTAGACAAGGTGAGCAGTCACATGCTAACAAATGCAATCAGCTGTTATACTCATGCACTTTGGGTTGCAGTTATAAACTGACAGGACATGGAATAGGCTATCTATGTCTGAATATGTGCAGTTACAGCTTGAAATGGAAGGACTCCACTCTTTTTGAATAATTCAGTGGTCTGGCTTGGTGGAGCGTAACTCGGGGCAGATATCCATTTACAGCCTGGACAAGGTTGTTTTTGCCAACAGTTGAGCCGCTGAACCTGAGGGCCACGCTGGGAAGTGCAGGTTATGAGGCTCCCCTGATAATCTGTGTCCCGCAGGAGCAGACTTTCACCCCGCTGTGACCACATCTGACACCCTGTCACTCTGCAGCTAAATGAGGTAATCACGCAAGAGGAGATTGAAACTTTGGCCTGGACCCTGACACCTCTCCACACACTGGATCCTTGTTCGCTTTGTCTGTCTCTTCACTAAACAAACACAAGGCTTCACCAATGCCAGCTCCCTTTTTTATTGCAGCGACACATTGTCAGATCAGGAGGAGAGAGGTATGATGTATGGCAAACACTGTCCGTTCACACTGAGCGGTATGTGCCAGTATTTCACAAGAGGAGCTCATTAAAAAAGATTCCTGCGAGTGAATTAACCATGACATAAATCTGTTACCCAAAAGCTACATCATTTGGCGACTACAGTATAGCCCCTAGGCTTTTTTCCTTTGCTGTGAGAAAACAAGAGACAACAAGTCTGTAGAAATCAGGATTAAATGAAGCTGGAGATGGATGAGCCGACTTTTAAACAAACAACACCATAACCATGAAGACAGATAAGTAGGTCTGGACGTCATACAGTGTCATTCATACCACAGGTTGAGGTAACACTTTAGGAATGTTTCTGGGAACAAACACAAGAATCATGGTTTATTTTAGCATGTTTTGGTCTGAGCCTTGCATGGGGACTTTAGGTCACAACGTCAGCTAACAATGCCTGATATAGTCATAAATCCTCATGGTAACTGCTGTTCTTATTTAGAAAAGTTTGGTGATAAAAAGTGCATTTCTTACTGGAAAACATTCAAACCTCTGAAGCCACAACATGAAGCACATTTTGAAGTAAAAGATTGGCATGAGACACAGTAAAGTCTGACAAGTAAATCCACAACTGTTACATAACAACATCCTGAAAATTCAAAAAGAAACAGCAATAACGATGAAAGCACAGATAATAAACAGCCCTTATCTTGTTTGTCTCAGAGGTTTCAAATGATGACCTGAATGATGACAACATGATGCTCAAATCTGTGCCAGATGTAGCTTCCTTCCAAATCAATAGTCATTGAAAATACATGGAAACACCAAAATGAAACTCATGGCAAGCTGGAAAAAGTTGTCTGTGTTGTAAAATAAGTGGTGCAATACTTACAAGAGGGTGCAGGCTGAGCAGTGAGATCTCCTCAGTGCAAAGGAAGTGAATGAAGAGGAAGGAGGGACCGCTGCTGTTCTCCTCTCCCTCTCCCTCCCTCTTTCTTTCTTTTCTTTCTCGGGCCAACAGGGTGTCTTTTATCTTCGGTGAATGATTCAGCGTGGGTCTGAATGTTTGACTGAGGGTCCGTAGGTGTGTGTGTGTGGCTTATGTTCCCAAGTTTCTGTGTGTGTGTGTGTGTGTGTGTGTGTGTGTGTGTGTGTGTGTGTGTGTGTGTGTGTGTGTGTGTGTGTGTGTGTGTGTGTGTGTGTGTGTGTGTGTGTGTGTGTGTGTGTGTGTGTGTGTGTGTGTGTGTGTGTGTGTGTGTGTGTGTGTGTGTGTGTGTGTGTGTGTGTGTGTGTGTGTGTGCGTGCGTGCGTGCACTTTAAAGCTCACCAGGGAGAAGGCCCTTCAGTAATAGTTTCCATCCACAGCTGGAAATAATAGAGATTCCCATACAGGCGCAGTGGCACCTCCCTCCAGTGTTTCACGTGTGAGGGAATAAGAGGCAATTTCATCTCAAAGACCTGAATAACAGACATGCCATAACAGCACTATCTATTCACTGTTTTTTATCTCAAGCACATCAGGCACAAATAGTCTGGAGGGCTTTCTATGAGATCCAGGTGGCTTTATTGCTCACCTGTCACTTTGCAAAGTCCATCTTTACATTCAAGAACAACTTTTTCTGAGTACAGATGCATGCCCACACACACACACACACACACACACACACACACACACACACACACACACAAACACACGCACACACACACACACACACACACACACACACACACACACACACACACACACACACACACACACACACACAGTTCAAAAGTCTCAGTGTTTCCATGTTTTCTTCCAGCACCATACTCACCCAGTATGAGGAAAGCCTTGCAGCAGAGCCAAGAGAAGTAGTAGCTACTGCTTTCCGTTTTAAAGCCTCAGTCCCAGCAGAACTTCAGCTGTGTTTCTGTAACTAAGGAGAAAGTGTAAAGCTTCCGTTAAGCGGGGAGCTTTATCAGTGATCCACACTCCCATGTTTTTCCCTCAATCCGGAGATATTACTCTGCAGACGCCTGCTGGATTCCTGAAGCAGAAGCCTCAGCTCTGCCATCCAAGATAAATATTGAACAGGTTGGCTGGAGGATCAGCAACCAAAGGTCACAACTCTCTCCTTCTCTGCAGTCCATCTTCATGTGGAGATGACCACCTCACCCTCCACCCTGACACCTCAGATTACTCTCAGTGGAATCACAGTCCAGATGAGCAACAACCTAGAACAAATGTGGAAAGGAACAATAAGCCTTTGCAATTTTCACTCCCAAAAAAGTCTTAAAAATATATTTGTAATGTTGGTAATTGGAGTTGTGATGCTGTAATTGTTTGTATGTTAAAATTATGATAGATTCCCTGCAACAAATGACTGTTATGTCTGTGAAAGAGATGCAATGTGCCGAACTTATTTCCCTTTCACAGGCTTTGTCCAGCAGATGTTAAGCAGTGCAGCACTGCCTCTTAGTGGGACCAAAAGGAACTGTGTGCGTTTGTATGTCACCATGAATACAGACAGGTGTCGCCAAAATCACAAACATAACACCATTAACCTGTAGAAATAGAATGAAAACACTAAATATCACAAAACAATCAATTAGATATGTGATTATTTAAGTTCAAATTTAACAATCTTTATAGGTAGCGTAAATCAGGTTAAGAAACAGTTTCATATAAATATTTCATATTTAAACAGTGTAGTGCATCTTAGTGTCACAGCAGTGCATGAATACATAACAGTGGAAATATATTGTGTTTTAGTGCATATATTAATGCACATCTTGTTCGTTTTAATACTCTAAAGCACATGTGTCAAACTCAAGGCCCGGGGGCCAAATCAGGCCCTTGGTGGATTTAATTTCGGCCCACAGGATAATTTTTAATTACTATTAGATCTGGCCCGCCGGTATATTGCACGCACACCTTCACTCAATCCAGAGGGTTTCCTCAGCTCAGAGCCTGAGCCCAAACATTGATGAACTTGCACCCAAGATGAGATGCCAAGTATCTGCTTGAACTAGCATCACAGAGCAGCAACCTGAGTTTAATGGATGTTTCCTTCTGCACTTTGTTTCTTGTGACAACAGGGAGTGTTTGTTTTGTTCTTTGAGGGAAATAGTTTTGTTGAAGCTGTTGTTGGCCTGTGGAAAAATGTAATCATAAGAAATGACTCGGAAAAGCTGCAGATAGAGCCATAAGAAATGAATGCAACTGATTATTTCATGTTTAATGTTTTTATAGGCAATAATTTAAGCTTTGTTAGTTCCAGGTTTAATATGTGCAATAAGTTCATTTCAATAAGTTTTGCAATAAACATTGAACCAGTCCCTCGACTAGTACCCATTTTTAAATGTTGGCCCACTGTGTATTTGAGTTTGACACCCCGGCTGTAAACCCTGCAAATCTCTGTATATTTTTGCACAATTCTGCCACCTCTCTTAAAATGTGCTCACTTTAAATTACCACAACGTTTTTGTATAATTATTTTTCTCTTTATTTTCTAATACATTTTTTAAAAAACATTTAGTTATAGTACTACTATTTTTGCTCTTTTTTTGCTCTTGACCATAGACCTGACTCTTACTTATTTTAAGAATAGATGGATATTTAGATGTCAGTTTAAATATGGTTACGTAACACATGGGTTCTGAAATGTTGATCTTGTCTGTCTGTCTGTTTCGTGGGAATACCTGTATCTACTTCCTCAAGAGAAAGTGCTCATGTCACAACAGTTTGTCACCTAATCTTTCTATCTACAGCTGGTTGTCTCTTACATAATGCTGCCATTGATTGTGACTGATTGGGATGTCCTCGGCCATAAAGCATCTGGCGTTTATATTTTTTTAATACTGAAGGTATACAATGATGGTTCAGAGGGGGACTCGTTCATTTGTTTATGCCTTAGAGAATCCCAATCTTAATTAGGAAAAAGATATTCGACAAGTTGTTTTGTAGAAAGGATTAGTCCTAATGTTGACATAATTTCTGCTGACCTTCTCTCCCACAGAACAGACCGGAGGAATATTTATTGATCCGTTAGTTGATTTAGTGATTTGCTGATGTAATTTGGCCTCTGTAATTAAGTCTAGCAACCTAATGTCTATTTAAAGAATAAAACACATGTGATCTCAGTTTTCTGATATCTTCTAACTTTTATATGCACTGACTAAACCAATTAAAGCATTTTTCAAACGACATCTTGGTGCGTGTTCTCCTGCCCTGAAGCAAGCCCAGAGGCGTCCCTTTTTCTAAACAAACAAGTCATTTTTGTTTTTCCACACATATTATGACATTCATCAACTAATGTCAAAGGGCTCTTGATTCCCCTTACAGTCTTTAAAGGTCCCCTATTATACTGTTTTTCATCAATTTATTATAGGTCCCAGATATATACAAACATGTCCTGAAGTGTTTGGCTCGAAACACCAAACAGATCATTGCAGCATCCCATAATCCCCTCTGTTTCAGCCCTGTTTCCAAAGTGCTGATTCTCTGTCTGTTACTTTAGATGAAAATAAGGAGCCCCTCCCCACGCCCCTCTGAGAGAGATTTGGTTACAAAGAACATAATGGTGCTCTAGAAGGAGATTCAGGTGATAAGGGGGTGGGGGGGGGGGTTACCTTGGTTGGTGATTGGCTAATGGTTACACAAGCCAAAATGACATCATAAAGTGGCCAAAATCTGATCAGCTCATTTTCAGACAGGTTTTTATAGAAATGGATCAGGACAAAAAGAGAGAGAATCTTTTTTCCTGAAACTTTCAAAATCTCTTCACACAGAGGGGACACAGGGTTATGTAGTAAAGACATGAACAAGTGGATTTTGCATAATAGGTGACCTTCAAAATAAAATCCCTACCCCCTTTCCCAAGTCAACCCAAAAACAAAAACAAAAAATAGATAAAGTTTAAAAGATATTATAATAATAATAATAATGCAGACGATATATTGGTAAGGGTTTGAATATTGCTTTACAGTACAGTCAAATATGCTATTTAGAAATTGATTAAATGACCTAAAATTGACGTTATCAAGAGCCTTTGCAAGGTGTATTTCGCTTTGGAGCTTTGGACTATAGAGATAATGTCGAAACCATTAGCTTCCACATTTTGGAGGAAGTTAACAGTATATTCAAGTTATAATTCTCTATGAATGAGGCCTTTAGACAAGGGGGTGCTTTTGTTTCATAAAGGCTTCAATACTTGAGTATGTTTAGCGACAAAGATAAATACAAATCACTTTGTCATATATCTATTTACTATTTTTGAATGAGAAGAACAAGAGTTTGTAAACACATGCAATATACAGAATACAGAATACAGAAATTAACCCAAAAT